GTTAAAGTGTTACTAAATCCACAACAGTAAATTCAGTCTGTATATGCAGTAAAGCATGCTTGTTACACCCAGTGTGGAACCTAAGGGGTTAATCCTCTGCATTATGTAAAAGGATGTTTGATCCTGACTTATCTGCTCCTCCACTTGTTCAAATGTCCACGTCTTATCTCCTAAGACAGACTGAACCCGTAGCTATACTGCACATGCTCAGTGTAGTGTGTATTGCTAGAGAGTGTTTTTTTTTTTGTAGAGTACATGTTATCAGCACAGGGTCAATCAGCACTGTCCAGAGAGAGGTCAGGGGTCATGCATCCTCCTAGAGCAGAAAGAAAACTCCTCCTACAAGCTTTAATCTGTGCTCTGCTGAACACTGATAGAAGTCACATGACTGCTCTAACTGCTTATGAGAAAAGATATTTAGCAGTTTATATTTACTAAAATAATTGCATTTCCATGTTGCGTGTACTGTGGGAGACCAGATAGAGTGAATGCAGGGTCCGGGGTTTAGTAACACTTCACTTACTCATTGAGGTCTAGGGGGAACAAAAAAAGATTTACTTCCCCAGTCCTCCATTCCTCCTTGCAGCTTCCTCTCCCCCACGCTCCAGCAATCTAGGGTCCTGATGTCATCAAGACAAAGCAGGGTCCGTACCCCTGCACTGGATGGGATGACGCTGTGGGACAGTCCACCACTGGAGCATGGGGGAGCGCCATCTGCTGGAAGCATAGGATCAGGTAAGTAAAACCTCTCTGCTGAATAAAATGAGCAATTAACCCTTGAAGTGCTGGCACAGCTCCACTACAAGGGACCCTTTCTGGGTTGCCTAGAACTGGGCTTTACTGTAATCTTAGTTAGTTTGGTGTATTTCTTCCAGTAATCCAGTGTAAAAACTTTCCCTCTGTGCAGGAGCTTCCTGTAATAAAGACCGCTAATTGCTACTCTCTCTCCTAGACCAGGGTGACTGGTCTTGTCTCCGCCCCCTCCTGCAGTAAGCCTATAGTGGGGGGAGCTACAGGGCCCCTCCCACAGCGCTGGTTTCTGCACAGGCTGGGTACATCGCAGCGGTCATGTCAGCGCTACTTTTACAAGGTAATATCTAAGTTTGCGGCAGCATTTGTGGCACACAAGGCGGATATACAGCACTGATCGTCCTTGCTGCTCCTAAGGAATATATTCCAATTGAAAGTTTTTTTTTCTCTGCCTGAAGTTCAGCTTATGATGATGTAGTCACCGATTGCCAAGAGTTACAAAGTGTCACAATGAGAGAGTCCCAGCATCCAGACCCCCCATCCTGTACATGCCTGACACTGAGATCACACACACACTGCCACCCTCCATACCTAATGGGGACAACTCCGGGATCTCACTGCCATCTCCGCCCGCCGGCCGGCGACCAGCCACATATCCCGGATCTGTACACTCAGCTCCTCCTCCCCGGTACACAGCAGCCTCCGGTCACACACTCCGCTCCCCGATCTCCGCCAGACCTTCCCGAGGAGATCCGATCATTACATTCCTGGAGATCGGGAGAGAGAGGGAGAGAGGAGCGGGGGGCGGAGCCACACACACTCGTGTCAAACTCACAGGGGAACCATCCATCGTACAGAAGACACGCCCATCAACACCGCCCACCATCCCAGCAACGAATAAACGGTGGGGGCTGTAGAGAGCTGAGTGTACGGAGGGATCATAGCGGATCTACTTCTACAATCATTGTGATCGCATCACCCATCATCATCCTTGTCATCATCAGTGTGACATCACCAATCACTGTCCCTACCATCATTAGTGTCACATCACCGTCCCTGTCATCATCAGTGTGACATCACCGTCCCTACCATCATTAGTGTCACATCACCGATCATCGTCCCTGTCATCATCAGTGTGACATCACCGATCACCGTCCCTGTCATCATCCCTGTCACCATCAGTGTGACATCACCGCTCACCATCCCTGTCATCATCAGTGTGACATCACCGATCACCGTCCCTACCATCATTAGTGTCACATCACCGATCATCGTCCCTGTCATCATCAGTGTGACATCACCGATCACCGTCCCTGTCATCATCCCTGTCACCATCAGTGTGACATCACCGCTCACCATCCCTGTCATCATCAGTGTGACATCACCGATCACCGTCCCTACCATCATTAGTGTCACATCACCGATCATCGTCCCTGTCATCATCAGTGTGACATCACCGATCACCGTCCCTGTCATCATCCCTGTCACCATCAGTGTGACATCACCGCTCACCATCCCTGTCATCATCAGTGTGACATCACCGATCACCGTCCCTGTCATCATCCCTGTCACCATCAGTGTGACATCACCGCTCACCATCCCTGTCATCATCAGTGTGACATCACCGATCACCGTCCCTACCATCATTAGTGTCACATCACCGATCATCGTCCCTGTCATCATCAGTGTGACATCACCGATCACCGTCCCTGTCATCATCCCTGTCACCATCAGTGTGACATCACCGCTCACCATCCCTGTCATCATCAGTGTGACATCACCAATCACCACCATCATTAGTGTCACATCACCGATCATCGTCCCTGTCATCATCAGTGTGACATCACCAATCACCGTCCCTACCATCATTAGTGTCACATCACCGATCACCGTCCCTGTCATCATCAGTGTGACATCACCGATCACCGTCCCTCTTATCATCCCTGTCACCATCAGTGTGACATCATCGATCACCGTCCCTGTCATCATCCCTGTCACCATCAGTGTGACATCACCGATCACAGTCCCTGTCATCATCCCTGTCACCATCAGTGTGACATCACTGATCACCGTCCCTGTCATCATCCCTGTCACCATCAGTGTGACATCACCGATCACCATCCCTATCATCATCCCTGTAATCAGTGTGACATCACCAATCATCGTCCCTATCATCATCAGTGTGACATCACCAATCACCATCCCTATCATCATCAGTGTGACATCACCGATCACCATCCCTATCATCATCAGTGTCACATCACCAATCACCGTCCCTGTCATCATCAGTGTCACATCACCAATCATCATCCCTGTCATCATCAATGTGACATCACCAATCACCATCCCTATCATCATCCCTGCTGTCACCATCAGTGTCACATCACCAATCACCGTCCCTATCATCATCCCTGTAATCAGTGTGACATCACCAATCACTGTCCCTATCATCATCCCTGTCATCGGCAGTGTGACATCACCGATCACCATCTCTATCATCATCCCTGTCATAATCAGTGTCACATCACCAATCACCGTCCCTGTCATCATCAGTGTGACATCACCAATCACCATCTCTATCATCATCCTTGTAATCAGTGTCACATCACCAATCACCATCCCTATCATCATCCCTGTCATCATCAGTGTGACATCACCAATCACCGTCCCTGTCATCATCAGTGTGACATCACCAATCATCATCCCTGTCATGATCGATGTCACATCACCAATCACCGTCCCTATCGTCATCCCTGTCATCATCAGTGTGACATCACCAATCACCATCCCAATTATCATTCCTGTAATCATCAGTGTGACATCACCAATCACCATCCCAATCATCATCCCTGTAATCATCAGTGTGACATCACCAATCGCCATCCCAATCATTATCCCTGTCATGAGCAGTGTCACATCACCAATCACCGTCCCTATCATCATCCCTGTCATCATCAGTGTGACATCACCAATCACCGTCCCTATCATCATCCCTGTCATCATCAGTGTGACATCACCAATCACCGTCCCTATCATCATCCCTGTCATCATCAGTGTCACATCAATCACCGTCCCTATCATCATCAGTGTCACATCAACAAACACCACCCCTATCACCATCAGTGTCACATCACCAATCATTGTCCCTGTCATCATCAGTGTCACATCACCAATCATCATCCCTGTCATCATCAGTGTGACATCACCAATCACCGTCCCTGTCATCATCAGTGTGACATCACCAATCATCATCCCTGTCATCATCAGTGTGACATCACCAATCACCATCCCATTCATCATCCCTGTCATGATCGATGTCACATCACCAATCACCGTCCCTATCATCATCCCTGTCATCATCAGTGTGACATCACCAATCACCATCCCAATCATCATCCCTGTAATCATCAGTGTGACATCACCAATCACCATCCCAATCATCATCCCTGTAATCATCAGTGTGACATCACCAATCACCATCCCAATCATTATCCCTGTCATGAGCAGTGTCACATCACCAATCACCGTCCCTATCATCATCCCTGTCATCATCAGTGTGACATCACCAATCACCGTCCCTATCATCATCCCTGTCATCATCAGTGTCACATCAATCACAGTCCCTATCATCATCAGTGTCACATCAACAAACACCACCCCTATCATTATCAGTGTCACATCACCAATCATTGTCCCTGTCATCATCAGTGTCACATCACCAATCATCATCCCTGTCATCATCAGTGTCACATCACCAATCACCGTCCCTATCATCATCAGTGTCACATCACCAATCATCATCCCTGTCATCATCAATGTCACATCACCAATCACCGTCCCTATCATCATCAGTGTGACATCACCAATCACCATCCCAATTATCATCCCTGTCATGATCAGTGTCACATCACCAATCACCGTCCCTATCATCAGTGTCACATCATCAATCACCGTCCCTATCATCATCAGTGTCACATCACCAATCACCATCCCAATCATCATCCCTGTCATGATCAGTGTCACATCACCAATCGCCATCCCTATCATCAGTGTCACATCACCAATCATCATCCCTGTCATCATCAGTGTCACATCAACAAACACCATCCCTGTCATCATCAGTGTCACATCACCAATCACCGTCCCTATGATTATCAGTGTGACATCACCAATCACCGTCCCTGTCATCATCAGTGTCTCATCAACAAACACCATCCCTGTCACCATCATTGTGACATCACCAATCACCATCCCTATCATTATCAGTGTGACATCACCGATCACCTTCCCTATCATCATAGTGTCACATCAACAAACACCTTCCCTGTCACCATCAGTGACACATCACCAATCACAATCCTTATCACCATCAGTGTGACATCGCCAATCACCATCTTCATCAGTGTTTCATCACCAATCATCATCCCTATCACATCCCCATACATATAATGTATATACATAGATATATATACTGTGTATTATTATTATTATACAGGATTTATATAACGCCAACAGTTTGCTCAGCACTTTACAATATAACGGGAGACAATACAGCAACAATACAGTTCAATACAAAAGAGTTATGAGGGCCCTGCTCCTCGGAGCTTACAATCTAAGAGGGAGGGGCTGGTGGTACAAAAGGTAATAACTGTGGGGGATGGACTAATAGGAGGAATAGAAGATTCCGTTATTTGCTGAAGGCAGGATAGGTTTCCCTGAAGAGAGAGGTTTTCAGAGATCGCCTAAATGTGGGCAGTGTAAGCGATAGTCAGATAGATTGGGGCAGAGAGTTCCAGAGGATGGGGGAGGCTCTGGAGAAGTCCTGGAGGTGAGCATGGGAGCAGGGGACAAGGGAGCTAGAGAGCAGGAGGGCGTGCAAGGAGTGGAGAGTACTGTTTGGGTGATATTTGGAGACTAGATTTGTGATGTAATTTGGGGCAGAGTTATAAATGGCTTTATATGTTATTGTTAATGTTTTGAATTTTATTCGCTGGCCAATGGGAAGCCAGTGGAGGGATTGGCAGAGAGGGATGACAGACATGGAACGGTTAGTAAGGTGGATGAGTCTGGCAGCAGCATTCATGATAGACTGAAGAGGGGATAGCCTGCGATGAGGTAGGCCAATGAGGAGGGAGTTACAATAGTTAAGGCGAGAGATAACAAGGGAGTAAATAAATTGCTTAGTGGATTCAGAGGTTAGGAATGGCCGTATCTTGGAGATGTTGCGGAGGTGAAGTCTACAAGATTTGGACAGCGATTGGATTTGGGGCTGAAAGGACAGATGGAAGTTCCGGATTACACCTAGTACCCTGGATGTATATTTATTATATATAGCTACATGGATTATACTATATATACTGTAGATGAATAGATTTAAAAAGATACATGAATAACATCTATAGATGGATTATATATAGATTAATGGATTATACACTATATTGCCAAAAGTATTGAGACACTCCTCCAAATCATTGGAATCAGGTGTTCCAATCACCTCCATGACAACAGGTGTATCAAATCAAGCACCTATGCATGCAGACTGCTTCTGCAAACATTTGTGAAAGAATGGGTCACTCTCAGGAGCTCAGTGAATTCCAGTGTGGTACCGTGATAGGTTGCTACCTGTGCACTAAGTCCATCTGTGAAAATTGTTACTAAATATTCCACAGTCATCTGTTAGTGGTATTATAACAAAGTGGAAGCAACTGGGAACAACAGCAACTCAGCCATGAAGTGGTAGGCCACGTAAAATGACAGAGCGGGGTCAGCGCATGCTGAAGCGCACAGAAGTCACCAACTGTCTGCAGAGTCAATAGCTAAATACCTTAAAACGTCGTGTAGCCTTCAGATTAGCACAAAACAGTGCATAAAGAGCTTCATGGAATGGGTTTCCATGGCCGAGCAGCTGCATCAAAGTCTTGCGTACCAAGTGCAATGCAAAGGGGGCTGGATGCAGTGGTGTAAAGTATGCCGCCACTGGACTCTAAAGCAGTGGAGACATGTATTCTGGAGTGACCAATCACGCTTCTCTGTCTAGCAATCCGATGGACATGTCTGGGTTGGGCAGTTGCCAGGAGAGCGGTACTTACCTGACTGCATTGTACCAAGTGTAAAGTTTGGTGAAGGGAGGAGATTATGGTGTGGGGTTGTTTTTCAGGGGTTGGGTTTGGCTCCTTAGTTCCAGTGAAGGGAACTCTTAAGGTGTCAGCATACCAAGACATTTTGGACAATTTCATGCTCCCAACTTTGTGGGAACAGTTTGGGGATGGCTGCTTCTTTTTCCAACATGACTGCACACCAGTGCACAAAGCAAGGTCCATAAAGACATGGATGAATGATTTTGGGTTGGAGGAACTTGACTGGCCTGCACAGAGTCCTTGTCAGGGCTCCAGGGTATGACCAGAGGTATGTGAACTGACGCAGGGAAACGCAGGCTTCAGATAAGTTATAAACAATATCATTTATTAAAGACTAACAATACAAACATAAACGCAGTGCAATACTAAAACATAACACAGTGCAAACGAAACCAAACCAAACCACCCACAGATAACAGTACATACAATGCAAGCGTCGTCAGGCAGGCCGGGTCAATAACAATCAGGCAGGTAGGTACAGGGGGTCAGGCAGAGAATGGTCGGGGTCACAAGCCAGGGATAAAACAGGAGAAGTCAGCAGAGGTCCGGATCAGGCAGGGTCAGCAACGAATCAGACAGAGACAGGGACAGGGACAGGAACAGGAACAGGGATGCAGGAACAAGATACAGGGCCCAGGAAAAACACACACCAAGGCAGAGACTGCAGGTCTGGCCATCCCTTAAATACACCTGCATAATCAACTTCAGGTGTTTGGCTGGCTGCAGGGTTGAGTCTCTGATTGCTGGGAGCACCCGCTGGCCAGCCCTGGTACTGCAGCCCACAAGGCAGGTGAGTCCCACCATTACTGGCAAGTCCATTCCTGACAGTACCCCCCCCTCAAGGAGCGGCCTCAGGACGCTCCAAACAGTCCTAGCTGGGCAAAATGTTCCACCTCCCGGGTCTGGTAACTGGCGGGATATCAAAGACTGGCACATCGGGCAGGACTCCGGGCAGCGGCACACCGGGCAGGACTCCGGGCAGCGGCACACCGGGCAGAGGCACACCGGGCAGAGGCACACCGGGCAGGACTCGGGCAGCGGCACACCGGGCAGGACTCCGGGCAGCGGCACACCGGGCAGAGGCACATTGAGCTGGACTCCGGGCAGAGGCACATCGGGCTGGACTCCAGGCAGAGGCACATCGGGCTGGACTCCGGGCAGAGACACATCGGGCTGGACTCCGGGCAGAGACACATCGGGCTGGACTCCGGGCAGCGGCACACCGGACAGCGGCACACCGGGCAGAGGCACATCGGGCTGGACTCCGGGCAGAGGCACATCACGCAGGACTCCGGGCAGCGGCACACCGGGCAGAGGCACATCGGGCAGGACTCCGGGCAGCGGCACTCCGGGCAGCGGCACATCGGGCAGGACTCCGGGCAGCGGCACACACCGGGCAGAGGCACATTGAGCTGGACTCCGGGCAGAGGCATCGGGCTGGACTCCGGGCAGAGGCACATCGGGCTGGACTCCGGGCAGAGGCACATCGGGCTGGACTCCGGGCAGAGGCACATCGGGCTGGACTCCGGGCAGAGGCACATCGGGCTGGACTCCGGGCAGCGGCACACACCCGGGCAGCGGCACACCGGGCAGAGGCACATCGAGCAGGACTCCGGGCAGAGGCACATTGAGCTGGACTCTGGGCAGAGGCACACCGGGCTGGACTCCGGGCAGAGGCACACCGGGCTGGACTCCGGGCAGAGGCACACCGGGCTGGACTCCGGGCAGAGGCACATCGGGCTGGACTCCGGGCAGAGGCACATCGGGCTGGACTCCGGGCAGAGGCACATCGGGGGCTGGACTCCGGGCAGCGGCACATCGGGCTGGACTCCGGGCAGCGGCACATCGGGCTGGACTCCGGGCAGCGGCACATCGGGCTGGACTCCGGGCAGAGGCACATCGGGCTGGACTCCGGGCAGCGGCACATCGGGCTGGACTCCGGGCAGCGGCACATCGGGCTGGACTCCGGGCAGCGGCACATCGGGCTGGACTCCGGGCAGCGGCACATCGAGCTGGACTCCGGGCAGCGGCACATCGGGCAGGACTCCGGGCAGCGGCACATCGGGCTGGACTCCGGGCAGCGGCACATCGGGCAGGACTCCGGGCAGCGACACATCGGGCAGAGGCACATCGAGCTGGACTCCGAGCAGAGGCACATCGAGCTGGACACCGGATCACCAGGCGGAGCAGCAGGCACCGGGCCACCAGGCGGAGCAGCAGGCACCGGGCCACCAGGCGGAGCAGCAGCAGCAGGCACCAGGCGGAGCGGCGGGCACCGGGCCCCCAGGAGGGGGGCGGCGGGCACCGGGCCCCCAGGAGGGGCGACAGGCACCGGGCCCCCAGGCGGAGCGACAGGCATCGGGCCCCCAGGCGGAGCCAGGCGGGGGCGGCAGGCGCCGGGCCCCCAGGCGGGGCGGCAGGCACCGGGCCCACCAGGCGGAGCAGCAGGCACCAGGCGGAGCGGCGGGCACCGGGCCCCCAGGAGGGGCGGCGGGCACCGGGCCCCCAGGCGGAGCGACAGGCATCGGGCCCCCAGGCGGAGCGATAGGCATAGGGCCCCCAGGCGGAGCAACAGGCATCGGGCCCCCAGGCGGAGCGACAGGCGGGGCGGCAGGCGCCGGGCCCCCAGGCGGAGCGACAGGCGGGGCGGCAGGCGCCGGGCCCCCCAGGCGGAGCGGCGGGCGCCGGGCCCCCAGGCGGAGCGACAGGCATCGGCCCCCAGGCGGGGCGGCAGGCACCGGGCCCCCAGGTGGGGGCGGCAGGCACCAGGCCCCCAGGAGGAGCGACGGGCGCCGGGCCCCCAGGAGGAGCGGCAGGCGCCGGGCCCCCAGGCGGAGCGGCGGGCACCGGGTCATCAGGCACGACAACGGGCATCGGGTCACCAGGCATCAAGTCATTTGGCTCGCCAGCGGGCACCGCGTCATCTGGCAAGGCAGTGGGCACCGAGTCACCAGGCACGACAGTGGGTTCCGAGTCAACTGGCATGACCACGGGCACTGGGTCAGACATTGGATCGTCTGGCTTGACAGCGGGCATCGGGTCACCAGGCATCAGGTCATTTGGCTCGACAGCGGGCACCGCGTCATCTGGCAAGGCAGTGGGCACCGAGTCACCAGGCACGACAGTGGGCTCTGAGTCAATTGGCACAACAGCGGGCACCGGGTCATCAGGTACCGGATCGTCTGGATCGACAGCGGGCACCGGGTCATCTGGCGTTGGATCGTCTGGCTCGACAGCGGGCATCGGATCACCAGGCATGACAGCGGGCACTGGGTCACCAGGCATCAGGTCATTTGGCTCGCCAGCGGGCACCGCATCATCTAGCAAGGCAGTGGGCACCGAGTCACCAGGCACGACAGTGGGCTCCGAGTCAACTGGCATGACCGCGGGCACTGGGTCAGACATTGGATTGTCTGGCCCGACAGTGGGATCGGGTCACCAGGCATGACAGCGGGCACTGGGTCATCAGGCATTGGATCGTCTGGCTCGACAGCGGGCATCGGGTCACCAGGCATGACAGCGGGTACTGGGTCATCAGGTACCGGATCGTCTGGATCGACAGCGGGCATCGAGTCAACTGGCCCAATGGAATCATCAGGCTGGATCAGTTCATCAGGCTGGGTAGAAACCTCATGCTGGTTAGAGGCATCAGGCTGAATGGAGGCATCAGGCTGAATGGAGGCATCAGGCTGGGTAGAGGCATCAGGCTGAATTGTGGGCGCCGAGGCACCAGGCCGCACCACGGAAGGCAGGTTCTCAGATGGGAGGCTGACCGGTTTGGATACTGGCAGGATGGTATTGGTTGGAAAGAACTTTCGCCTTTTCCTGGTTTTAGTTACCGGAGCACCGTAAGTAAGCGCAGGTTTGTAAACGGATGGAGCAGCTGGAGACAGAGAAGAGCTGGAGGATGGAACAGGGGAGGGAACAGTTGCTACAGAGGGCTTCTTTACAGGGTTAAAAGCAGGATAGGTGCAGCGAGTGGGAACAGGGTACTGACATGCGGTAGATAGCAGGGTATACTGGGCTGTAAATGGAGGTGCTGTTGGGAATACAGGAATAGAGCTTTGAAGAAATAGATTAGAAGCAGGACTGGGTTTTTGCAAGCTGACTGAGGCTGGGTGCAACAAGTCTGACCATGTCTGCAGTATGGGTTGAACAAAGCTCAGCTTACACAAAGCCTGTCTGACCAAAGACTGCACTGCGTTTATACAATCTCTTAGTACCTGTTGTGAGCATGCAGAATAACGCTCCAGAAAGTAATCCACATCATCCTCTAATAACCATACCAGGGACTCTACCTGGTCGGCACTAAATGGGGGCAAAAATTCATCCCTGCATTCGGGGGTACCAGATGAAACCAACTCAGCACAAACCTCAATCAATGGCTGCACCTCAGAGAACTCTGTGCCCTGATCTACTAGAACATGAGCGAGCCGTATACATTCTAGCAGTTCATCCCGGGGATACTCCTTCAGAGTTTGATAAGCATACTCTCTGTCATCAAACACTAGCAGAGATAAATACACAACCTCATCAAGATCCATCCTTCCCAGCAACAAGCCAAGATGGCTTCCCTGTGCAGCCACTTCTGGTCAGGATTGGCCTTGGTGTAATGTCAGGGCTCCAGGGTATGACCAGAGGTATGTGAACTGACGCAGGGAAACGCAGGCTTCAGATAAGTTATAAACAATATCATTTATTAAAGACTAACAATACAAACATAAACGCAGTGCAATACTAAAACATAACACAGTGCAAACGAACCAAACCACCCACAGATAACAGTACATACAATGCAAGCGTCGTCAGGCAGGCCGGGTCAATAACAATCGGGCAGGTAGGTACAGGGGGTCAGGCAGAGAATGGTCGGGGTCACAAGCCAGGGATAAAACAGGAGAAGTCAGCAGAGGTCCAGATCAGGCAGGGTCAGCAGCAACGAATCAGACAGGGATGCAGGAACAAGATACAGGGCCCAGGAAAACCACACACCAAGGCAGAGACTGCAGGTCTGGCCATCCCTTAAATACACCTGCATAATCAACTTCAGGTGTTTGGCTGGCTGCAGGGTTGAGTCTCTGATTGCTGGGAGCACCCGCTGGCCAGCCCTGGTACTGCAGCCCACAAGGCAGGTGAGTCCCACCATTACTGGCAAGTCCATTCCTGACAGTCCTGACCTCAAGCCAATAGCACCTTTAGGATGAATTAGAGTGGAGACTGTGAGCCAGGCCTTCTCATCTGACATCAGTGCCTGACCTCACAAATGTGCTTCTGGAAGAATGGTCAAACATTCCCATAGACACACTCCTAAACCTTGTGGACAGCCTTCCCAGAGGAGTTGAAGCTGTTATAGCTGCAAAGGGCGGGCCAACTCAATATTGAACCCAACAGACTAAGATTGGGATGCCATTAAAGGTCATGTGCATGTAAATCCCTGTTGCAGTGTGTGCAAACCTGGTCAAGAACTACAGGAAACGTTTGACCTCTGTAATTGCAAACAAAGGCTTCTGTACCAAATATTAACACTGATTTTCTCAGGTGTTCAAATACTTATGTTCAGCAGTGCAAGACAAATACATTCTTTAAAAATCATACAATGTGATTTCCTGATTTTTTTTTTAAATTCTGTCCCTCAGAATGGGAATGCACCTACAATGTGAATTTCAGACCCCTCCATCATTTCTAAGTGGGAGAACTTGCAAAATTGCAGGGTGTTCAAATACTTCTGTTCCTCACTGTATATATGTATATATATATATATATATATATATACATACATATAGACACACACATGGATTATAGGATTATATATACAGTGGGGAACATAATTATTTGATCCCCTGCAGATTTTGTAAATTCAACTATTTACAAAGAAATGAAGGGTCTATAATTTGTATCTTAGGTGTATTTTAAATGATAGAGACAGAATATCAACCACAAATCCTGAAAAAAACACATAATACAAATGGTATAAATTGAGTTGCAGTTCAGTGAGTAAAATAAGTATTTGATCTTCTACCAACAAACAATAATTCTGTATCCCCCAGACTGGCTACATGCTCATGTGGTACACAGATTAGTCCTGTGAATTTAAGAAGGTGCTCCTAATGACAACTCATTATGTGTTTAAAAGACACCTGTACACAGATTGTCTTTCTTGGCTACCACCATGGGCGAGACCAAAGAGCTGTCAAAGGATGTCAGAGACAAGATTGTAAACCGGCACAAGCCTGGAATGGGCTACAAGACCATCAGCAAGAAGCTTGGTGAGATGGAGACTACTGTTAGAGAGATTATTCGCAAATGGAAGAAATACAAAATAACCATCAATCGCCCTAGGTCTGAAGCTCCATGCAAGATTTCACCTCATGGGGTAAGGATGATCAAGAGAAAAGTGAGGGATCAGCCCAGAACTACACGGGAAGAGCTTGCGAATGATCTCAAGGCAGTTGGGACCATATTCACCAAACAAACCATTGATGACACAATACACTGCCGTGGATTGAAATCCTGTAGCATCCGCAAAGTCCACCTCCTCAAGAAGGCACATGTACGGGCCCATCTGAAGTTCGCAAATGAACATCTAAATGATTCAGAGAAGGATTGGGAGAAAGTGCTGTGGTCAATTGAGACCAAATTTGAGCTCTTTGGCATTAACTCCACTTGCCATGTTTGGAAGAAGAAAAATGTTGACTATGACCCGAAGAACGCCATTCTTACAGTCAAGCACGGAGGTGGAAATATTATGCTTTGGGGTTGTTTCTCTGCTAAAGGTACAGGCTGACTTTGCTGCGTTGAGGGGCCAATGGATGGAGCCATGTATGGTAAAATCTTGGATGCAAACCTTCTTCCCTCAGCCAGAACACATGGGTCATGGATGGGTCTTCCTGCATGACAATGACCCAAAACATACAGCCAAGGCAAAAGGGAGTGGCTCAAGAAGAAACTCATTGAGGTCATGGAGTGGCCTAGCCAGTCTCCAGACCTTAATCCTATAGAAAATTCATGGAGGGAGCTGAAACTTCATGTTGCCAAAGTGACAGCCATGAAACCTTAAGGATAGAGAAGATCTGTAAAGAAGAGTGGATCAAAATCCCTCCTGAGATGTGTGCAAACTGGTAACCAACTACAAGAAACGTCCTACCTCTGTGCTTGCCAACAAGGGTTTCTCCACCAAGTACTAAGTCATGTTTTGCTTGGGGATCAAATACTTATTTTACTGACTGAACTGCAACTCAATGTATAACATTTGTATCGTGTTTTTTCTGGATTTATGGTTGATATTCTGTCTCTATCATTTAACATCCACCTATGATAAAAATTATAGACACTTCATGTCTTTGTAAGTTGGCGAACTTACAAAATATGCACGGGATAATTAATTCCCCACTGTGTGTATATATATATATATATATATATATATATGCTATAAATATAATATTACAAAAATTTGTTTGCCAATACTGTAATTTTCTTTCCCTGGCTATTCCTCTTGACAACATACTATTCGTCAGCTCCACCTCTTGATACCTATAGGACCACATAAATAAATAATAAAACAAGGAATAAACCTGTGGCCCAGTGCTCTATCCAAAGATGAGCTTTAGAACACTGGAAGCGTAATTAGGTTGTTATGCGGAGTAGCTAGGAAAACATATTTAAGCAGCATTAAACCCAAAAGCAAACAATTATTATATTGCAGATTACCAATTCGTAGATGTGGTGGCTGCATTTTGGAATCTTCTGATGATATTATGAATTGTAGATGATGATATATTTAAAGTATTCGCACATTTACATTGAGGAACATTATTTTGAAATTGTTCAACAATTTTTAAATGCAGCTTTTAACAGACTGGTGAACCTATGCCTATCTTTACTCCTGAGATACTCTGACTCTCTAAGATGCTCTTTTTTTTTTTACCCAGTCATGTTACTGACAATTTTTTTGATACATGTTGCTGCCATCAATTGACATTTTTCTTCAAATGTGATATTTTCACAGTTTAAATATTTTATATGTTTTCTACTTTCAATTGTGAGAATAATATGTGTTTATGGGGTTTGCAAATCATTGCATTCTTGTTCCTCCTACTGTGTGACATTGGAAACTGGACGCAACGAGGATTCTGTATAGAAGCTTTTGGTTTTACCTGCTGCTTTGGAGGCCAGAGGAGAAATCTGGATACCCAAAGACCCAAGATCTCTACATAAAGTGGACCTGTAATGGCCCATGCTATCATAAGGTACTGTATGTTGTTCAAATTAATCCTTTTTTTTTTAAAGCGCCCCTGTCCCCCCTGTGTTTGTGCAAAAAGGCAAATGCATGAGTCAGTCCTGCACATATACACAAACAGTAATCGCACCACATGTGTGAGGTTTCACCGCAAATGTCAGTGCTAGAGCAATAATTAATGTATCATTGTTTGTCGCCGTTCTAAGTGCGTGCACAATTTTAAAGCGTGACATGTTTGGTAACTATGTACTAGATGTAAAATCATCTTTTATATTGTACCAAAAATTGGGAATTAGGTATATTGTATTTCTCTGCACTAACATTCATTAAAGCGTATTTTTTTTCCCCAAAAATGTGCGTTTGAAAAGCCACTGCGCAACACCTACCATTTTATTCTCTAGGACATATGCTTGAAAAAAATATTTAATGTTTGGGGTTTAAGTAATTTTCTAGTGAAAAAATGAAAATGTTTACATGTATGAC